GCCGAAGCAGGTGGATAACTTGAGGCCAAGAGTTCGAGACCAGCCTGGGCAACACGGCGAAACCCTGTGTCTACTAAAAATACAAAAATCAGCTGGGCGTGGTGGCACACTCCTATAATCCCAGTTACTCGGGAGGCTGAGGCACGAAAATCACTTGAACCCAGGAGGCAGATGTTGCAGTGAGCTGAGATCACACCACTGCAGTCCAGACCAGGTGACAGCAAGACTCTGTCTCGAAAACAAACAAAAAAACGAAAAGAAACCATCAGTCTACCAGTCTACACGCCTGGCACTTTGGCTGAGGGCCCAGTGAGCCAGGGGTGTTGTGCAAGGCACAGGGCACAGCCCAGGGGAAGTTTTCCTTCCCTCTAATACTCTTGCTCTCTCCTGCAGCCTGTACTGCGAGAAGCGGATCCTGGAGGCTGTGGGCCGCACAGGGCATCCCTTCCTGCTCTCCCTCCTTGCCTGCTTCCAGACCTCCAGCCATGCCTGCTTTGTGACTGAGTTTGTGCCTGGTGGCGACCTCATGATGCAGATCCACGAGGATGTCTTCCCAGAGCCCCAGGCCCGGTGGGTTCCATCCCTCCTGCCTGCCTCTTCCAGCAAACTTTACCTGGTTCCCTACACCCACTGTCTACATCCTGCTTTCCCCCAAGTGCCCAACAGCAGGGGTGCAGGAGTCAGAGTCTTTGGTTTATACCCTGGCACCAACTGACAGCATTTATGACCCTGGGCATCAGTTTATGAAGCTGTGCATTAGTGTTTTTTTTTTTTTTTTTTTGGAGATGAGTTTCGCTTGTTGCCCCAGGCTCCGGAGCAAATGGCACGATCCGGCACTGCAACCTCTGCCTCCCCTGGTTCAAAGCGACTTCTACTGCCTCCAGCCCCTCAAGTCACGAGGATACAAGGCATTCGGCCACCACCACCGTCTAATATTTGTATTTTGTAGAGATGGGGTTTCTCCATGGTTGTCAGCCTGGTCGGTAACCTCCTGACCTCAGCGGATCCGCCATCTCAGCCGTCTCCAAAGTGCGAAATACAAGGCGCCGAGCCCACCACACCTACAGCGAGTCTACAGAGTAAGTTGAAAAATAAAGCACGACTTGGCCAGCGCCCCCGTAAGTCCCAGCACTTTCGGAGGCCCGAGGCAGGCGATCTCTAGCAGGGTTTCACTTGAACCAGCCTGAACCACTTGGAAAACTTGTCCTCACACCTAAAAATACAAAAATAGCTGGGCATGGCTGGACACCACTGAACCAACTAACTGCGCAGACGCCTGAGGCCGAACCACTGAATCAAGAGGCGGAGGTTGCCAGTGGAGCTGAATCCCGCCACTTTACGTCAGCTGCGACGATGGCACAGACTCCGTCTAAAAAAAAAAAAAAGGCGGTGCGGGTGGCTCGCACACCTGTAATCCCAGCACTCTTGGGAAGTGAGGCAGTGTGGGATCCAGAGGTAAGAGATCGAGAACCATTCTGGACCAACAGTGTGAACCCATCTCTACGAAAACTAAAAAAAAAACAAAACAAAACAAAACAACATAGCTGCCGGTGCGTGGCACCGTCCCTGAATACAGCTAACGGGACCGAGATTGTGCCACTGCACTCCAGCCTGGGTGACAGAGCGAGACTCCCTCTCAAAAAAAAAAAAAAAAATAGGCATGATGAGTATCAACTGCAGGGACCAACACTTGGTCCCTGGCACCATTTAAGGGCCCAGGAAGCTGGAAATTGAGGTGACCTTGGGACTGTTAGAGCACCCCCACTCTCAGCATGATGCTTGTCCCAGTCTCACTCATCTCTGACTGGCCGGGACATCCAGGATCCCCCAGCCATGGCCATCCTGGTGCCTCCCTGCCTTGCCTCCCTGGTCTTGGGCCTGAGTTCTCCCATAACCACCCCTGCAGCTTCTACGTGGCTTGTGTTGTCCTGGGGCTGCAGTTCTTACATGAGAAGAAGATCATTTACAGGTGACTTTTGTCCCAGGGATGCCTGGGGGTGGGGGTGGGGTGGGTGAGGACACAGATGCTGCCTCTCTCCTGCCTGGGCTGCTCCAGGCGTGGTTGCTGTTTCCTGGGTCTAAGCCCCCCTCATTCCCTTTGATCTGCACCCTTGCCCTCAGGGACCTGAAGTTGGATAACCTTCTGCTGGATGCCCAGGGATTCCTGAAGATCGCAGACTTTGGACTCTGCAAGGAAGGTGGGGGCTGCCCATTGGGATTCATATCTCCAGCCTTGTTTACCCAGCCTGGCCAATAGGATGATGGGCACATGGCATCTCCCAGGAAATCTCACCCACGGATGCCCTGGTTCCGCTGCTCCAGACCTCATTCCAGGGGACAGCTGGGCACACTGGCCCTTTCTTCCCAGTCCTAGAGGCTCGTATAGAGTCCCAGCCTGCACCTGGCCCGAGGGAGAGTCTATAGTCAGGGCTGGGAGGGGAGACTGAATTCTGCCTTTTGTTTTTTTCTTTTTTCTTTTTTTTTATTTTTCTTTGACGAGGAGGTCATAACACTACCTGCCATCGCCCAGAGACATCCGGAGTAGCAGCTGAGCACAAGATCTCAGAACATCATGCAGCATCCGCCTCACCCAGGAAAGTTCTGCTGCCTATACTCACTGCTCAGCTCCCAGAGTCCGACTGGGCACTACCGGGCCCACCCCCACCACCCGACACACACCCGCCACCGGGGTCGCCCGGCTAGTTTTCTTCTGTCAATCTTTTTAGTAGCAGCACGAAAGGGTTTCACTGTAATTACGCACACAGCGAACACTCGCCGCATTCTCGATCTCACATGCCTCGATGATACAGCCCGTCGCGCTCCCCACGCACCCCAAAGCTCCGCCACCAGGCATTGAGCCACCAGCGCCCCGGCTCTTTTCTTTACTTTTTATCTTTTTTTTTTTTTTGGCGAGACGGAGTCTTGCTGTGCCGCCAGGCCACCTGGAGCGCAGTGGCGGTAATCTTTGCTCACACGTGCAACCCTCTTACACATAACTGGAAATTCAAACAATTCTCACTGCCTCAGCTCCCAACAGTAGAAACTCGGCTAACAAGGACGATGTACCAATACACGCCCCCGCCCCAAAAAATAAATTTTTTTATTATTTTGATATTAGTAGAGACAAGAGAGGAATTCACTGTGTATTAACAGACGATGAAGATAACATCGATCTCCACTGACGATCATGATCCAGCCCAAACCGATCGACCACACTTCCGCCAAGCTGCATCGAGATTACAGAATGAGCACGTCCAACATACGCCTGAGCTTCTTTTTTTTCTTTTTTTTTATTCAGAAGACGAAGATCTTGCCCGTTGCCCAGGCTGGAGTGCACAATGGCATGAATCTTGGCTCACTGCCCACACTGCGCCCATCACGATTACAACACAGAGAAAGAGTACATGCTCTCTGTCCTCAAGCTATCCCCAAAGTAGCTGCAATTACAGGCGCGTGCCACCACGCCCCAGCTTATTTTTTGTATCTTTAGTAGAGACGGGGTTTTACCATGTTGGCCAGGCTGATCTCGAACTCCTGACCTCATGATCTGCCCGCGTTGGCCTCCCAAAGTGCTGGGATTACAGGTGTGAGCCACCGTGCCCGGCCGAGTTCTGCCTTCTGTGACCTTAGCCTGTGAGCTTGGCTCCGCATGCAGTCAAATGGCGTCATAACCATTCCCACCTCCTTGGGTGGGGCAGGGTACAGGGCAGGGCTTGGCACAGGCTAAGCTCCCTGGCATCATAAGGCTTGGCTGTTGAGGTTATTATGAATAGGCCACACCAATCTGCTTTTGGCGTACCTGTTGATTTGTAGGGATCGGCTTCGGGGACCGGACTAGCACCTTCTGCGGCACCCCGGAATTCCTGGCTCCCGAGGTGCTGACCCAGGAGGCGTACACACGGGCTGTGGACTGGTGGGGGCTGGGCGTGCTGCTCTATGAGATGCTGGTGGGTGAGGTGAGTGCTGGAGTGTGCTGTCTGGGCCTCTGGGTTGGAGTGGGGTGGCCCGTGCATCCTGCTGAGCCCCCATCTCCACAGTGCCCTTTCCCAGGGGACACGGAGGAAGAGGTGTTTGACTGTATCGTTAACATGGACGCTCCCTACCCCGGCTTTCTGTCGGTGCAAGGGCTTGAGCTCATTCAGAAGGTAAGCACTGCAGGGTCTGGGTCTGGGATGGATGGCCGCTCAAGGCCCATGTGCCCTCTGCCATGGGACAGCAGACCCCCTGCCACCCATCCGTAGAGCGCTCTGGGCCAGCGTGCTTGGGGCCTGTGGATGATGGCAGTGCCTGGGGCTGAATGCCCTAAGTGAGCGCCTGTCCTGTTGCCCAGCTCCTCCAGAAGTGCCCGGAGAAGCGCCTCGGGGCGGGTGAGCAGGATGCCGAGGAGATCAAGGTCCAGCCGTTCTTCAGGGTGAGTGGCTGGGGTGGCGGTGGTCCCCTGTGCCTGGCAGGGTAGGTGACACTGAGTGACTCATGGAGCTGCTGTTCCTGCCATCTCAGGCGCCTCTCCTTTTCCCCCAGACCACCAACTGGCAAGCCCTGCTCGCCCGCACCATCCAGCCCCCCTTCGTGCCCACCCTCTGTGGCCCCGCGGACCTGCGCTACTTTGAGGGCGAGTTCACAGGGCTGCCGCCTGCCCTGACCCCACCTGCACCCCACAGCCTCCTCACTGCCCGCCAACAGGCCGCCTTCCGGGACTTCGACTTTGTGTCAGAGCGATTCCTGGAGCCCTGAGGGCATCTCCTGGCACCTCTGTCCCCTTCCCCCACAGACTGCTAGAGCCTCTGCTTGCCTACCTGTGTGCCCTGCCTGGAGGTCCAGGCCTTGCCGGGTACTTATGAGCCCTTGGGACTCGAGGTGGCAGCCATGGGGCCACTGTTGTGGGCTTTGCTCAGTGTCACTGGGCAAAGTGTGTCCCCTCCCCCTCCAGCTCGCCCTCCTCTACCTCCCAGCGAGACCTGGCCCAGAAAGGGCGCCGCAGCAAGGAGTGATGTGGTTTGTCTTTTTAAGACTAGACTTGCTTTATAGACTATTAAATTTGTAAAAGTGTGCACTCGCAGTCGCCTGGGTGGGGCTGGGGTGGAGCCCGGGGTCTGCTTGGGCCTGAGCTGCCCACAGGTCCTTTTTTCCCTTTCTTCCTTGGAAGGCAGAACTGCCCACCGAGGCAGGGATCTGTCTGTTTTGAAGTTCAGTTCTGGGGCCTGGGAGGAGTGGGCAGGAGTGAGCGGCCCCAGACCCTCCGAGGGCTGACCCTAGCTGGGGACAGGTCCCCTGGTTTTCAGGCACAAGGTAGTAGCCCAGCCTCTAGCAACCCTAAACAGCTGGGCTGCTGCCCTCCTCCTCCTCCTCAGCCCAGAGGGTCTCCCAGGACCCCGAGGGCCATCCACAGAAGAAGTGGGCCAGGTTGCGGGTCAGGCCTCGGTCGAAGGGGTTGCCGGGGCGCTGGCGGAGATAGGCGATGCGGTGTGAGGAGATGAATTCCCAGGTGGTGGTGTTGCTGGCCACCAGGTAGAGGTGTGAGGCGAGGAGCAGGCTGGCCACCAACGAGAGGAGGGACAGCAGCAGGAAGGTGGCGAACAGGAGCCCGCTGGATCGAAGCCACAGTCCCCAGGGCTGGAAGAACTGGAGGCCTGACCTGCAGGGCAGGGGACAGGGGCCTGGTGCTGGGGGAGGGCAGGGGAGCCCTTCCCTCCCTGTGCTGGATCCCTGGGAGTCCTGGCTCTGTCCAGCCCTGTGGGAGCATACATCACACCCTCCCCCTATGCCCGGGCAGCAGCACCCACCATGCCAGGTACAGGCCCCAGAGAAGCACCACCAGCTGCAGTGCCAGGTAGACCACAAAGAGTGGGTGGTTGCGCTCCCCTACACAGTTCTCCATCCAGGGGCAGTGGTGGTCGTAGCGGCGGACGCAACGGCGGCACTCACGGCAGTGCCGAGCCCTCAGGGGCTGCTGTGGGCATGGAGGAGAGTGGAGGCTCAGTGCCAGCCCTGCTGTGAGCCCACCACTGAGGGGAGGAATCAGGGCCTGATGATGGAAGGCCTTCTTGGAGGAGGGGTGAGGCCCCGGCACTGGGGCAGGAGGAGGTCGAGGAGTCTCAGCTTTGGCCCAACCTCTCCCAGGTGAGTGTCCCTGCATCACTCACCAGCACCAGGCAGTATCTGCAGCGCCGAAGAGGGATGGCTGGAGGAACCATGGCTGTCTGCTCCTCTTTGAGCTCCTCCTGGAATGAGGGGTGGGGTATAAGACAGGATCCCCTTGGGAGACAGGTGGCATTGGCGGGCAGCTCCCCTAGGGGCCGGCTTAGCTCTGGTTGTGTTTAGGACCCATCCCGTGCAGAATGGAGGTGTGGGGTGCGGCGGAGCACCCTGGACTGAGGGTGGCTGTGTGATGTTTGCAAGTCTCTTCCTTTTCTGGGCCCCAGCAGTTTCCTCACTACTGTAGGATGGGGCTCTAGGGCTGGCAAGAGGATTCACTGAGCTGCCCCCACAAGAGCCTGCAGCACAGAGCCTGGCATGGAGACTGCTGGTGGTTGTTGAGTCCCTGCTGGTGAGAGTAGGGGCCCCTGGTTACCTGAGGCTGGGGCTGCGCATTCACGTAGCCGGGGTCCATGAGTGACACAGCGAGGTAGAGCAGCAGGGAGCCCAGCACCAGGAGCAGGAAGGTGAGGGGCAGGAGCAGCTCGCCCTGTTCCTCCCATTGCCGCAGCTCTGGAGAGGCCGGGAGAGCACAGTGAGGCTGGGCCGGGTAGAACAGGAGTGGGTGGGACTGGGTTGCAGTTGGAGGTGGGGAAGTGTGTTCCTGGCCCAGCAAAGACCTGGAGATGTTGGTTCCATGAGTGGTTGTGTGTGGCCAGCAGTTCATCTGAACTTTATCTGGAGGGTCAGAGGGAACCATGGAAGGTTATAAGGCCAGATCTGTTTTGGAAAACCTCATCGCTAGAGAAATGGATCAGGGGAAGCCTAGGGGCAGAGAATCTGGCCAGGAGGAAGAAGAGGGGAGCTGCAAAGGCCTGGCAGGAAGTGAGAGAGGAAGGAATGGACAGAGGGGGCTGCTGGGTGAAGGGAGCCAGACCTGACTGGATGTGGGACAGAAGGAGGAGGGGTCCAGCGTCTCTGGCTCTGCAATGGTGAGAGACGGGCCAGGTCTGAAGTGCCTGAGAGAGATATGGGAGGGAGGGTGCAGCTGGCAGGCTCAGATGCTGCAGAGAGGCATAAGAAAGGGTCCAGTGGCTTCAGCCCATGGAGGTGACAGGATTTTGGGGAGGTAGGGTGCAGGGCAAGGAATGAGGGGGCATGAGACCACCAGACAGCGGAGTGTAGACAAATCCCGTGTCCCTTGTAAGGGGGAGCAGAGAAGAAAGGGTGGCTTTTGAGGGGGGTCGTTTTCTGATAGGGAGACCTGAGCAAGTTTTTAGGCTAAAGGGTGAAGGTGGTGGAGGAGGTCTGAGGTCTTGGGAGGAAAACCAGAAGGGGCCCCAGTCCAGAAACTGAGGCTGGACCACCATGGAAGGAGGGCTGGGGGCTGCTGTGGGTGACAGTGAGGGAGGCTGCCCGTGGCAGGTGAGGTGCTGGGTAGGGGGCTACTGAGGGGAATGAGGGAAATGGAGGTGGTAGGTGGGTGAATCTGTGGGAAGATGGGAGACAGGCTTCACCCCGGGGGGTGTTCTCTTGCCTGAGGGGTTGCCTGGACTTGGGGGTGTGGAGGGTGTGGGTGTGGACACAATGCCAATCCTTGCATCTAGTTGAGCCTCCTAATCGTAAGGATGGGAAGATTTGGGGTCAGTTCCTGGGAAGGAACTGGTGGGTCCCAGGATCAAGGGACATGGGGCTTAAGTCGGTCCTTGGATCTGGTGGGCACCGGCTGGGTCCTGGGATGGACAGGGCATTTGGCAATGATCAGGAAGATGCTGGGATTAATCAGGAATCAACGGGGTATCAGGCGGAGAGCGGGTGGCTATTGGAATGATAGATGGGGAGGGGGCTTCAGGAGCTGGCAGAGATCGGGCCAATCCCAGGATCTCCAGGGATTAGGCGGGAGACCCAGTGAGACCCGAAAGTCCGGGGAACCACGCGGGATCGGGTGGGTCCGGGGTCGCTCGGGGTCCGGCTCACCGGTATCGTGCAGGAAGAGCACCAGCGTGATCCCCCAGGTCAGCACGGTGTGCCCGGTCCGCACCAGGACCCCAGGGCTCAGGAGCGCCCAGGGGGCCATCGCCTCGGCCCGGGGCCCCACCCGGAAGAAGCGCCCAGAAGGGCGGGCCCTCCGAGGGAGGGGAACGCGGTCGCCCGGGGATTGGTGGATCTGGGCGCTGGGCAGGGCCGGACTGGATCAGGGAGTCTGCTTATTGGATGGCCGCTGCGGCCGAGTGGACCCTCAAGCCAACAGGTGCCTGAAGAGGCTGAGGGCGGGGCCGGCGCGCGCGCAGCTGGTAACTCCCCCAACTCCAGCCCCACCCGCCAGGTAACTTTTGAAAGCCCAGGCGCGCGCGCGCACCTCCCCCGCGCTCCCCTGTGCCCGCCCTCGCAGCCTCGCGCATGCGCGTAGCTCCCTGGGCGCTTAAAAGATCCAGCGGTTTGCTGTGAGTCCGAGAGGCAAATTTGTGCCCATTTCGAAGATGTGATGACTAAGGTCTCCAGAGGGCCAAGGCTCGCCCAAGGTTGGTCTGTGGTGACAGCTTTACCTCCTTGCTATTTATTCTCAGATATTGCAAACGGAGGAGAGAAAAGTGGAGGTATGTGGTGCACATTCTGACTATGGGTGATCCAACTTAGGCGGGAGTCAGAAATCCCAGCACTGCCCCTTCCTACCTGTGTGACCCTGGGCGAGTTACTGAGCCCCTCTGAGCTGTTTTCTGTCTCTATAAGGGGGATAACAATAGTGTCTTAAGGTGTTTGGGAGGACTAAATAATGGAAGCGCCTTGTCTAGCACGGGGCTGTCTTGCCTCTCCTGCTGTGAGCCACCACCTACAGGCGGACTTTCCCCGCCAGAGGCTTCAGGCTGTCTTCCTTCCCTGTGTCCCCAGGGCCTTCCCCACTCAGCCCTGCCTTTCCACAGCACCTCCCACTGATACCAGCATCCTCCTCCGCCTCCATCTGATTGGCCCCATCCCAGCTCCTCCAGGGTACTCCTCTGACATCTGTTGTTTCTCTCAGCTCAACATCCTTTTTTTGATTGGGGAATTGACTTCCCATCCCATGTGATTGGAGGGACTGCCCCTCACCCCATAGGATGGCCAGCGGCAGGCTGTGGGCGTTCGACTCTGCAGAACCAATCACAGGCCTTCCATGAGATTACTGTCTAGATGCTGAGAGGAAGGGGCATTCTTTTGGATCTCAAGCCTAAAGAATGGGATATAAGGCAACCGAGAGCCATCTTTACGCTGTGCGGTGAGGGCCTACCCTGTCTGTGGCTGGAGAAAATGAGACCAACTTATAAAGACACATAGAGATGGATAAGCAGCACTAAAGGAGGGAGCGAGCGATGGTCTGAACAATATTGTCTGAGCCCTCCAGATTCAGCTGTCCCTGAAGCTGATACTAACTGCATCCCCTGGTTGCAAGTCAATTAATTCCCACCTTTTTTTTTTTTTTTTCCCCCCAGACAGAGCCTTACTCTGTTGCCTAGGCTGGAGTGCAGTGGCACGATCTGGGCTCACTGCAAACTCCGCCTCCCAGGTTCATGCCATTCTCCTGCCTCAGCCTCCCAAGTAGCTGGGACTACAGGCACCCGCCACCACGCCCGGCTAATTTTTTTTGTATTTTAGTAGAGATGGGGTTTCACCGTGTTGGCCAGGATGGTCTCGATCTCCTGACCTCGTGATCCGCCCGTCTCAGCCCCCCAAAGTGCTGGGATTACAGGCTTGAGCCACCGCGCCCGGCTGGCCACAAGTTTTTAAAAGGAGAGCCCTCGATGTGCCAGGTTTTGTGCTGGGCTACAGCAGAGCCTTGATGTGGCTTGCTGTTCACAGTCCAATGGGGGAGACGAGATAAAGCAACTTCAGCCCCATGAGATAAGTAGATGCTGTGATGGGATGAGCAGGAACTAGAGTGTTCCTGACACAGGAAATGGCAGGTACCAGGCCAAGGAGCTAGAGGAGGAGCACCTGGCACCTCTGAGGACCTTGTTTTCCCTCCTTTACTGTGGCAACCTTGAGGAAGTAAGTCATTTCAGGCCAGGTATGGTGGCATATGCCTGTAATCTCAACACTGTGGAAGGCTGAAGTGGGAAGACTGCTTGAGCCTGGGAGTTTGAGACCAGACTGGGCAACACAGTGAGACCCCATTTCTACAAAAAAAACAAAAATTAGAAGTGCATGGGGTGCACGTTTGTTGTCCCAGCTACTTGGGAGGCTGAGGTGCAAGGATTGCTTGAGCCCAGGAAATCGAGGCTGCAGTAAGCTGTGATCGTGCCATTGCACTCAGCCTGGGCAACAGTGAGACCTTGTCTCAAAAAAATAAAAAATAAAGTCACTTCACCTCTCTGAGCCTCAGTGTCCTTGTCTGTAAAATGGATTATTGCCAGGGTTCTGAGGAAGCGGAAGGTACATGAAGCACTTAGCCCGGGGCCTGGCACACAGATGAAGGTTCAGCAGTGTTGGCTGCTGCTGGCAGGCACTTCCCTCATTCCCTCCGAGGCACCGACGACCCACCAGGGTTCTGAGGCAAAGTACTCGAGGCCCTTCCTGCCCAGGTCCTGTGGGTGGCCAGTGGCAGGGGGCTCTCTGCCAGGGGAGAGAGAGAGGCCAGATCCAGGCCCTGCAGCGGGTGGAGAAGAGGGGACCTCGGCTTCACAGAGGCTGTGGGAGGAGTCAGTGCTCAGCTTCCAGAAACACTTAATTGAGTCCTGATGCCCAGGCTTAAAACCTCACATAGAAGGTAAAATCCACACACTCACGGTGGTCTATAAAGGGTGTGACCGTATCGTTTCTTTTTTGTTTTTTGAGACAGAGTCTCGCTCTGTCGCCCAGGCTGGAGTGCAGTGGTGTCATCTGGGTTCACTGCAAGCTCCGCCTCCCAGGTTCACGCCATTCTCCTGCCTCAGCCTCTCGAGTAGCTGGGACTACAGGCGCCCGCCACCACGCCCAGCTTATTTTTTCGTATTTTTAGTAGAGACGGGGTTTCACCGTGTTAGCCAGGATGGTCTCGATCTCCTGACCTCGTGATACGCCCGCCTGGGCCTCCCAGAGTGCGGGGATTGTAGGCGTGAGCCACTGCGCCCGGCTGACCATATCATTTCTTATTCCAACCAGGCAGCTCTTGAGGATGACAAGGCACTGTCGATAGAGCTGCGGGGACCACAGGTGTCAGCCAGGACGGCCCTGGGCCATGCTAGAGTCTGGGCACCTCACGATTTGGCCCCAGCGACTTCTTGGTCCCGTCCCACTCCACCCTTGTTCCTCACGCTGCCAGAGCCACATGGGGCTGCTTCTCTGTCCACCCTGGCAGGACCCTCTGCTGAGGATGCACTTTTCCTCCGCCCCTCGGGCCAGACCTGGGCAGCCTCCGTCTTTCACTGGGTTTGGCTGCACTCTGCCTCTTGTGAGAAGCCTCCTAGACACATGGGGGCACCGTGCTGGCTCCTTCCCCTCTCCCTAAAGCACTGTGGCCCAGCGGACTCCAGGCTTCCTTGACCTGCCTGCCCACTCCCTCCGCTGCCTTCTCCCTGCTGGTGGCACAGAGTCGTTATCTTCTCTTTGCCATCTGTCTCCCCCATCAGGCTGAGCCATCCTGGGCAGGCACCCTGTTGGTCTGGTTGCCAGCTGTGTCCTCAGTGGGCACAGGGATGTGAAGAGAACACATAGGAAACAGGTACTTCAGCTCAGTCCCCTGCCACCTGTCCCCAGCCTGCAGCCCTTTAACATACCAAATGCACACCTCCCTACCACAGAACTACCCACACTGCCGTCCCCCTGCCGGGGGTGGCTCAAGTCCTGCTCCAGAGCCTGGAAGCCAGGCTAGCAATCCCCTCCACAAAAAAAGACGCTCTGTTCTCCATTTTGCACAAAAATGTATTTCTGTGACATCCCAAAGTACAGACATTTCCCCAGGCCCCAGGGGGTAAAGCAATGAGGTGTGAACTCTGCCAGGGTCTGGCCGGGGCCGCTGAGCGTGGGATGGAAGGGAGCGCTGCATGCAGCCCATCTGCCAAGCTGGGGGAACACAGGGCTGTCGCCCACTTCCCAGGACAGGGAGGGAGAGGCTCCGGGAGAAAAAGGCCAGGTGTCTCTCCCAAAGCTGCTCACCCATCCCGTCCTGCCTGGAGGCGGAAATGCTAGGAACACCTGAAAGCAGGCCGGCAGAGGGAAGAGGGAAGAAAAAGCCATCATCCAAAGGCTGCCTCCAGGGTTAGCGCTGCTCCCCAGGCCCCTGTGATCCACAAGTGTCCGATGAGAAGCAAGGCAGCGTCCACCGAGGGAGGAGCACAAGAGAGCCGGCGCCTCTCAGGCTTCCAAGGTAAAGCCGAGGGCAGGGTGGGACCGCCAGAGAGGCCCAAGCAGCCACTGCAGGGCAGTCCGAGTGCTGGTCTGGAGGCGGCTGTGTGGCCGCTGTGGGTCAAAGGCTGGCGTGGGACCTCTGCCTCTGAGAGGCGTGGGGTCCTCTGGGCAGCGGGGCAGGCTGGGATGAGGAGGCAGGCTCAGTTCTGCTGGTGGGAGCGCCTGGGCAGTTGAAGGCTGTGGAGCAAGGAAGCAAGCCCCTGGCCCCAGAAGATGCTGGCTTCCAGGGCAGGGGGCAGGTTCTGGATGTGTTTTGGCAGAAGGGGCAGTGGAATCTGCCCCCAAGTTCTGACCATCCCTGGGCTGGGGCTTTCCACAGCCTGGGACCTGGTGGGAGACTAGGAGGCAGCCTCCATAGCAGCGTGGCCTCAGGCAGGCCTGGCCGGACAGCAGCAGGGCCACTGGGTGCCCTGCTCCTGGAAGGTCTTCAGGGGCAGGGCTGCCTGGACCTTAGCCTAGGAACAGCTCACTTTCTTGCCCTAGATGGCCCACAGCTGGGAGCACCAAGGCTTTTGGGAGACCCAGTGGGGTAAGTTCTAATCCCCAAACCCCATCACTGTGCCCGGGAGCCGAGATGGAGTTCTCAGGCATGGGCAGTGGGTCAGGATGCTGGATACGCTGTCCAAGGCCTGCTCCTCTCATGAAAGGAAGCCAGACTGGGGTCTGAGTTTCCTGGACAAGGACTGGACACTCACAGCGTTATAGGCATTTAGTCTGGTTGGGGTAGGAGTGAGTGTGTCAGCGATGAAGGCTGAGTGGGTTTG